AGCGCACTCTTAGGCTTAAGAATAACTTGTATCCAATTCTTCCACATTATCTCAAACTCATGCCAACCGATCAATTGATCGCAATCCGTGTCAAACACTTGGAACAGTTGTCGCGTCCACTGGACGGGCATATGATAGGGTGTGTTGTGTTGGTTGACAAAGAGGGCCGACAAGAGTCGACTAAAAGACTTGTGGTTCAGTCCATCGCAACCAGATTCGCACAACTGATCGAAACAGAGTCTAACCATTTGGTTGTCATCACCAGAAGTGCTGGTCTGCAGAGAAGTGAACGAAAAGTTGTCTTCAGATTCCGTCGACTCAATCATTGCTGTAATTGTTTCCAAATTGGACCCAAAGTTATCAATATAATGATTGTTATAATTGTGAAAAAGTCACTGAATATAGCGATTGAATGAATGCAGTGAAAGCCACACCTAATCGTCTAATACTTAATATGAATTAATGACAAAAATATAATTAATTGATTTATATTCACACGAATTGCAATCATTTCAAGTTCCGTTCATGAAAATATATACTCTATTTGTTTGAATCCGTGAATCGAAAGCAACTAAATATGTGTTTTTCTTTTTTCGTATCCAAAGTCACGAACAATATGTTAAACTATAATACATTCACTGATTTGTACGAAATGATTTTCGTTAAATACCAAAATATTTTCATTCATTACTTAATAAGGCTTTCGTTTAACAGTGGACTCACTCCAAGACATTAAAATTCAATTCATACCAAACAACTCTTATCTTTTCGTTTAAATCTTGAAAATCCCTGAAATATCTTGAAAGTCGACAAAAACGAATAAATTTTCACAAATCCATGAATTTATGTTTAAAATCAAGTTTGCATTCATTTTTGTAAAATTAATTTATGACTTACACTGTATATTAATTAATTGATTATAATTTTATGATATTTTCTGTGCTAAAATGTAGCCAAACATTAACACTTGCATTCATTGAACACATTTATTAAAGTATTACAATTTATTTCATTTGAATAGTGATACTGTATAAAGTACAGTAATTATTATATTCTGTAATAAAAATACATACAATATTCTAGTTATTTATAATAATATTTTGTAAATTAATCAATATCTAATAACTTGATAATATAGATACAATCTTTATATCAGATATATTTCAGATCAGCTATACTGTATTTAACTACCATACACAATCTCAAATGTACCGAGTATTACTGTTATGTCTATTTTATTACGGTACAGTATATGTATAAAATGTATACTATAAATATGGAAATATAATCTTATTTCACCAGTATAGGTGTTCTAAATAAATTGATATTTAAAAATGTACCGAGTATTACTGTTATGTCTATTTTATTACGGTACAGTATATGTATAAAATGTATACTATAAATATGGAAATATAATCTTATTTCACCAGTATAGGTGTTCTAAATAAATTGATATTTACATAATTAAAAGTAAAATATTGTACTCTAAGATAATGATATTTCATGCATTTCACGCCACAATAAAGTTATGTTACATTTACGGTATACTGTATTTGCTTTACAGTTATTTAAAGCACAATTCACTTCAATTGATTTGCTCTCAATCTTAATAACATGCAGCACAAGTATACATTGTATAAAGTAACAAAAAAGTTTAATCATGTTATTGTAACAAATAATTGTAAAACGGTTTATGTTTTATGAAACTAAACTTCACTCCAATTATGAAAAGTGAAGCAAATGTTGTGCCAAAACATGAGACCAATGAATGCATTGCTCATTGAATTGAGCGCTCAATGCATTGCACTCTCACTGCACTCTCACTCTTCAAGTGTGCCTCACTTTCAACCACAACAACACTTGTGACCAAACATTCACTCATTGTATTCACTCTCATGTCTCCCCAATACAAACAACTTCGTCAAGACTTCATCCGCGGTCACAGCGGATCCACATTCGGCGAAGTCATTGTCATCACTTGTGTGAACCAATTAGCAAACCTTCTGCTAATCGCCGTCTTATCTCTTGTGCCGGTCTTAACTCAACCTAAGTTTGTGACCATTTTTCTTGATTAATGACTAATTGATTGATCACTGATTAGTTGCAAATGGATTCGCTTAGTCGTCGAGTTCTTCGTAATAATGATGCCATTTATCGCATGTATTACCGTATTATCGGACCATATATTAGCCGTTTGGTTGACAATCATTTTGTTGACATTCATTGCAATCGTATTGTGTTTCACAAGAAGACAGACCAAACCAATTGTCATCAAAGAGTTACTCGATTTCTGTCCAACATATGGTCCAAGACTTCCATTCCTCACGAATCTGTTCTCAACTCTAATGACATGCGTTTGTATCGCTATTCTTGCCGTCGATTTCCGCATCTTTTCGCGTCGTTTCGCCAAAACAGAGATCTATGGCTTCAGTCTTATGGACG